AACGAGATTGATGTTTAATGATGCAATGAAATCTGCTTGGGATGATGCAGAGGATAGCTTTAATTGGGGGAAACCAGAATTGGTAGGAGACATTGATGCAATTTGAAAAACTAGTAACAACTAACTATAATTAAGCATGGTTAAAAAAAATGTTTTTTGGATCTGTGGCCTCGTTTTAGGATGGCTATATTGTTTAGGAAACTGATAATAATTGGTTTCAATGAAATGCAGTTCTTTTTCCCCATAATGCAAACAAACTGGTGTTATGTGTTGTGTGTGGATCTGAACGGCAGAAGGTGTGACATTCTGGACAGTTCATCTGCGAAAGCCAAGAATGAAGAGCGATATGGAGAAATGCCATCACTAGTGGTAAGTATGCAGTGTCTAGATTTATTTATGCGCTGAAATGGATTATTTCCTGAAGTTAATTTTATACGTTTTGTTTTGTGAAAGCTGAATATGTTGGCCGATTTCTTGGAGCACCATGGATTTAGAAGCAAGGCAGCCTGTATACGTGAACTTCAACCTAAAAGAATTGGGCTACCTTGGAGGGATGCAAAGCAAGTGTATGACTACGGGGTGTCAACAATGCGTCACATGGAGACATACATGGGAGAGGGAGCGAAGGGATGGGATTGTGGTCTGTCAAAGCTAAATCACAAGCCACTTTTGGTCCTACGTATGAAGTACTGTGCAGCAATTTTACTCCACGAGGTGAACGAGTTGATGGAGATGGTAGAAAACGAGTCTTTGAAAAACGATAAGATGCTTAAGGGGAAGAATGTTGAGTGAAAAGCAATTTTAATCCTCTGACTTCGTGTTGTTGACGGGGTGTTTTTTTTATTGTTTTGAGAACTAAGGGTTTTTGTGTTTTTTGGTTGATTTGTTTTTTGGGGGAGGAGCCATTCCTTCACATGACATGGGTATGATGTTTTTGGACGTATGCATGCGTTAGTAGTGGTAGGATGATCTTGTTTACGTGACAGATGTGTTTAATGCTCTAAATTATGCACTACCCTTGGTAATTCTTTAATTGCCGTGT